AAGTTAAGAACTTCGAGATGAGCACATAACACTTACCAAGTGAGATTTAATGTTCCAGCATTCACAATCCAAACCAAATAAATAATTCAGAATTCCCACATGAACACACACCACAATCAAAGTGCACACCACCAGTTCCTGCAAGAGCTGAGGAACAGGGCCCAAGCCACGCCCACGAAGAGTGTCACACCCTGGAGGAGGAAGGGAGGTGAGCGGGAAAAACCTGGCCCCTGTGCCCCAAGGGCCAGTGGGCTCACCTTGGTTCTGATAGGGATGGAGGGGCTTCTCTGAACAACACATGCTACCGAGGGACAAAGTGAACATGGAGGCCTTACAATGTCTCTGGCAGCATGTGGCCCCACCCAAGAGATGACTCTACCTGACAGGAACAGGCCTTAGGCTCATTAGACATCCTCCTGACGCTCCCAGGGACAGCAGCAGATTTCCCTTAAAGAACGGGGCTGCAGGTTGGGAGACAGTTCAAGGGTGCATGAGCCACACAAGACTGATGACCTGAGTTCAGGTCCCCAGGTCCCACGGAAAAGCCAGATGCATAAACTGGTAGGGAGAGGTGGATGGTACATGGGGGTCGGGGGAGAACACGGCTACATTTTAATATCAACTAAGAAATTAATAGGAAAGTTTTCAACTGTCTGTTTCTAACTAACTAAACTCCACACTGTCACATACCCAACCCTGTGACAGTCTGATGACAGTCCAGAGACAGGTGCTCCAGGCAGGGGCCATACACGTGTCCAGCAACAGAAGTGGACAAGAACTAGGGTGGTCCAATTAGTTGTAGTAATTCCTAAACAGCAGAGCAGGATCGTAGCTGCTTCACAGGAAAAGCATGTTGACTACCTGTGACCTGCCACACTGGTCCATGCAGGCCCAGCTTCTCAGCTCAGGGACTTCCGATGAGGATGACAAACTCCAAAAGCACCTGAAGAAACGACCTCTGGAACTCCTCACCTCCTTCTGGTGCAGCCAGCCACTCGTCACTTCAACACACCCCAAACAGTGTCCTCCTAACATATGGACTCGAGGTCTATCATCCAAAGTGGTGGTTTTCTGAGCTCCTGGCTGTGCTTGTGTGCACTAATGTTGGGGTTCTACACACTTAGTTATATACCCTGCTCCTCTCCTTATTAAAAATATAAATTTTTGCAATCTTCAAATATACAGCTTCTACCTGTGCCAAGTCGTTTTTCAACAACTCCAGCTCAGCAGCCTTCCATCACTCTTATTCTCAACATCTCACTGATACATGTGTCTGGGATGATGGCTGCCTGGTCCAGCTCATGTTCCTAAGGCATCATTATGAGCAAGACAGCCCCCTACAGGCAGATGCAGAAAACAACACTGTTGTTCAGGTAAAATTACAGCCCAATTTCTGAAGGCCAATTAACACAGCCCTGTTAGGCTGGCTCTCACTAAGTTTCATTCTCTGCATCCCTGACTTCTGAAAACCTGCTCCTGGACATTCCATCAATGCCTTACGGGAATATAAAATGTCTTATTTAAAGACTTGCAATCTTAATAGCAAGATAGGTAAGCATTTTCCAAGGCCCTGTCCATATCTAAAGAAAAGAGAGGGGGGGGAAAGAGAGGAAAAAGGGGCACCATGAAGGTTCCAGCATCCAAAGGTTTCTTTTTAAAACAGCTGGTCCAAAAGCCGCAGCAGACCTTGCAAACAGGGTGAGATTAGTCACATGATAAGGCCATGTGACATGCCTGTCTCCTTCAGAAACAGCCAAGTCCCATAACTCGGTTACACACTGAGTGCTACTATGATCAGAAAGCCTGGGCATTCAGGTGGGAAGACAATGTCCTTGGGAACCATCGGAAGTGACGTCAGCAGACAACCACCAGGCTCTGCAACACCGTTGTGCTCCCACAGTGACAGTGACACAAATCTCTCCTTTCTTACTAAGTTGCAACTTCATCTTTCTGTTCCCATAGTTAAATACAAATACAGCATGTTATTTATAGGATAATGTGAAAATATGTATATATATATATATATATATCTTTATAGATAGAAAGATATAAAGAGAGAGAGAGAGAGAGAATTTTTTTAAAGTAAGATTTGGTTGGAGGTGTGGCTCAGTGGGAGAGTGTTGGCCTGGCATGCACAAACCCTTGGGGTTCGATACCCAGTGATGCACAAACCTGCTCTGGTGGTGCATAACTACCGTCCCAGCACTGAGCAGATGGAGGCAGGAGAATTAGGAGCTCAGGCTCATCCTCACTTACATGGTAAGTTCAGGGCCAGCATGAGATGCTGACTCATAAAAAAAAAAAAGATACTTTTCTAGAGACAGTTCTCACAGTCCTGTGCAAAGGAAACAATGGTCTCTGATACTTAATACACTCAAGGGGAAATGCTTCTAAGTGGAGCCGCAGAGATGGCTCAGCACCAAAGAGCACATGCTCTTCTTACACAGGACAAGCGCTCTGTCCTTAGCATCCTAAAAGCTCACGGCCACTCCTAACCCCTTTCAGGAGATCTAACACCTTCTTCTGGATCCCACGGGCATGATGTGCATACAGACAAGCGGGCACACATGGATAACTTTTAAGTATTTTTAAAGCCTTTTAAAAGCGAAGCTCATCTTGGCTCAGCAGCTGCCTGGCTATGAAGGGGCCACAGAACACATCCTCACAGCGGATGGTGGTTAGATCGAGTTCTTTTCTCCACTGGGGGTGGTAAAATCCTGTAACCTCAGCTACTCGAAAAGATGAGGCAGGGGGCTTAAAAGTTTAGGGCCAGCTTGAGTAGAGTGAGTTCAAGGCTTGTCTCCACTACTCAGTGAGATCTTGTCTCAAAAAAATAAAGACACTGGCAATGTCCCTTACTGGGAGAGTGCTCACCTCACACACACAAGGCCATACATACGTTCAATCCCTAATACCACAAAAACAACTTTTTTTTCCTCAGAGTGGAAAAAAAGACACAGTGCTTCCCTAACATTTTAGCCAAGATGCACATAACAAAATAGTGTTATTAGAACACTGCCAGTAAAATACATAGGTATACAAAATGAAGGGGGGGGGGTCTAAAATTCAAAAAGGTCAACCAGGGGCTGCCATCAGCTTGCCAGACTTCACACCTCAAGCTGCTAGAGAACTGCAGAAGGGCTTCAGCCATGAGCCCTCCCCTCTCACCAAGCACCTGTTCCCCTACCCCACCCCGAGATGAGTGTGACCAGCTCCAGGAATGATGGGATTGGCAGGCAGCTCGCTGTCCTGGTTCACTAGTCCCTGCGGGTGCTCAGACTCCACGCAGACATCCCAGAGGGCTGGAGACACGGCTTAGGTGCCCAGTTCTGATGCCTGTGTGGATGCAAGTGCAGCAGCCAGGCAAGCAGCACACCACATAAATCTAATAACTAGGGAAAGCAGCATCTGCAACAGGCTCCTCTGACTGGGAGCACCCAACATCAAGTAAAAGCAACGTCTTCCACCAGCGGCAACACACCAGAGCACCCGGGCTGTGGACAGTCACAAGTTCCACACCTCAAGCATCGCCCTCTCATCACGGCAACTCGTGGGGAACTGCCCACGGCAAAACAACAAAGGCAACACCAAAATGCTTAAAATTTATTCTAAAAATGGGGACATTATGAAAACGTCAGGTCAGAGATCGGGAAGCGTTTTCATGGCTGCTGTTTGAAAAGAAATCTGTTCCAATTAACAGTCTCTAAGCCCACAGGGTTACCTGACTCCGAGGAGATTAATTATAACCACACAGAGATTCTAAGTTAGTCTTCCACCCAGATGTCTCCATTGAAAGAAGAATGGAAGAGGAAAGTGTGTGTACACGAGCGTGTATAGTGTGTGTATGTGTGTGCACACGCACGCGTGCAAGAACAAGCTCATGGCATGAGTATAGTACATGCTAAATACGTGAGCATATATGACTGTACATCAACAAGTGTGTTTATGATCTCTACATGGTGTGTTCGTGCATGTGTTGTGATGTCTGCATGTTTATGTGTGTGTGTGCATGTGTGCTTGTCTGTGCATAAGCAAGTATACATTTATGCATGTGTGCTTGTCTGTGCATAAGCAAGTATACATTTATGCATGTGTGCTTGTCTGTGCATAAGCAAGTATTCATTTTTGTGTCTATTTGTGCTTCCTTGAATTTGTGTGATATATGCATGTGTGTGCACATGCATGCTTGTGTATATGCATGTGTTTTTAATATGTGTGCCTGAGGTGTCTATGTGTATTGTTTCCATGCCTATATGATATATGCATGTTCGTGCCTGAGTATATTCATATATGCTTGTTTGTACAGAACAGGTATTTGTGGATGTACAGTGTGTGCGTGTATCCATGCTTATGTATACACGCGTGTGCCTGTGTATGTGTTTGCAATGCCTGTCTGTCGTAGTCACTGTTCTATCGTGTGAAGAGACACCATGACCACAGCAACTCTTCTATAGAAAACATTTGACTGGAGACTTTCTTACAGCTCAAAGGCTTCATCCATTATCATGGTAACGGGGAGCATGGTGACATCCAGGCAGACACGGCACGGAGCTGAGAGCTTTACATCCTGACCCACAGGCAGGAGAGCGAGCCTGGGCCTGGCATGAGTTTTGGAAACCTCAGAGCCCACCCGCTACCCGCGACACAATTCCTACAACACGGCCACACCCACTCCAATAAGCCACTCCTTCTAATACTTTTCAAACAGTGCTACACTCAAATATGGGGAGCCCCATTACCTACGGCATGTTTCCATGAATATGTGCGCCGTGTATGTATGTGACGGACACGTACGTGCAGGTGTATGCGCGTGTTTCGTATATGCATGTGTGCCTGTTTGTACGTAAACAAGTCTATGTATTTTGGGGTGTTTATATATTGTCTTTCTCTGTGTGCGTGGAGCATGCACAAGCATGTATGCTTGTGACATACTATGAGAACTCTGTTCTGCCGGAAGTGGAGAAGAGAAAGCCATCTCAGAAGAGTCTAGGACTCACTCCTTAGATTCCAGACACCCAGAAGAGACCATAGACTCGAGAAACAAACGTGTTCAGGCTGCAGCATTTGCAGGTGAGCAGCAGCAGGAGAGACAGGGAACTGACAGCATCAGGTACACCTATGTGAACTCCAGGACCCACTAAGTGCAGGATGCCCGGATGCACGGCCACCTGGATACAGGACTCGGGGCCAGACCAGAAATAGGGTACAAGGTCATCCAAACACAGGCACACCTGAGGACGCACGTCCCTCCAGCAAGGCCGCCGGACACAAGGCCAGCTGAGTGCAAGGTCACATGAGCTACTTGAATCTGATCCACCCGGGGACACCTGCTCACCTGGCGCGGGTTCAGGCACAGCCTCTTCTCCACTGTCATCCACCACCTCTTCGGCCAGGCCAGAGCCTGGGGAGTCAGTGATGGCACAGGCTGAGCCGGGGCTGCTTGGCTGGGAAGCTGAGTCACCCTCGCTGAGTGAGCCGCAGCGGGCGCGCACGGCTCTGTCTCCTTCGGGATCCCTGTCGCGGCGTGCGCGGCGGTGCACCCGCGAGTGCAGCACCATCTGGTGGTAGGTGCGGAAGATCTTGCCGCACTCGAAGCACTCGGAGGATTTGCCCTGGCCAGTTGTGGCCGCGGCCCTGCGGCTGGGGCGTGAGGCTGGCCGGGGGTCAAGGTGGCCAGGAAGCATGGGGTCCCCAGGTACACTGGCCCTCTTCCTGGGGGGACCCTGGGTAGATGGGGCATCCTGTTCACGCTTGCGCTTCTCCTGGCTCACCAGGATATACTCGCGCTTGTCCTTGTCAAAGGCTACATCCCCTGCCAGCGCTTCATCCCAGGTCCCGTACTTGAGGTACTCAGCCGGCTCAGCCACCTTGCCCCTGGTGGCTAGCTGCCAGGCCTGATAGCTGTTGACGGGGTCCAACTCGGCCACCCGCCGTCCAGCCTGTCCACTGGGGGACACATCACCGGCCACGTATGGTGTCAGGTTCAGGCACTGTAAGAAGAAATGCTTGGTGTCCAGGGGGCCCTCGGTGTCCCCCTCCTCAGCCGGGGCTCGTGTCCGGCTGGCTTCAACCTTGCGGTGTATGGCGTTATGGGCATTCAAGCTGTCCAGGTTTGTAAACAGGTTCCCGCACTTTGTGCAGACCTCGTAGAGGGACAGGCCAGCGACGATGACCTCCTCCTGCACCACATTGTTGATGGTGGCAATGGGGTCCAGCTCACTCTTGGGCCTGTTCTTGTTTCCTGCCTTGGGTCCATGGGCCTTCATGTGGTTCTTGAGGAACCAAGGCTCTTTGAATCTCCGGCCACAGATGTGGCAGCCGTGGTCAAAGGAGCCCCGATGCTTCTTCATGTGGGCCTTCAGGAACCAGGTCTGGCTGAAGGCCTGGCCGCACACCTCGCACGGAAACTCCCCGGGGCTCAGCTCGGGTTTGCCGTTCTCCACACAGGCCTCGCTGCCGTTGGGCACCTGTGCGGTGATGTGGTCCCTCTCGATGTGGCTCAGCAGAGACTCTTCCCGCAAGGTGACGTAGCTGCACAGCCTGCACTTAAATGGCTTGTGGGCCTGGTGCACATGCAGCTCCAGGTCCTTCTTGCGTTCAAACCGGCTCTTACAGAAGGAACACTGCACCACGGCCTCGGCGTCTTCCTGGGCACCGGCCGCCCCCTCCGCCTCCTTGCGGCTGCTCCTGAGCAGGATCTTGCTGTTGTCCATCGGCACGGCCCCGTTCAGCATGCGGTTGCAGGCTGAGGTGCTCTTGGTAGGGCTGGCACACCCATCCAGGCCCTCAGAGACACGCATCTCACCTAGCTGAGCCTCGCCTGCCTCTGGCTCGTGCCCCTGGATCAGAGTCCCCGTGCGGTGGCTGCGGATGTGGATCTTGAGGTTGCCCTTCTGGGAAGCCCTGTGGTCACAGTAGGGACACTTGTAGGGCTTCTCTCCCGTGTGCTTCCGCATGTGCTGGGACAGGGAGCTCTGGAACGGGAAGCTCTTGCCACAGATGCAGCAGCTGTGGCACGCGGCCTTCTCCCCTTCTACCTCGTGGCCCCTGCCGGCCCTGGGAGGGCTGGGCGCTCTCCTCAGCTCCATCTCAGCCTCTCTGCTGCGATCCATGAGGACGATGGGGGGGCGGGGGGGGTCACAGCACAGCCTTGTGTCTCGAGGGCCGGAGGGTGTGTCCTATCTCTCCATTTTCAGAGGGGCTCCTGCTGCCCAGAGGGGAGAGAGGTATTCGTGATGAGCAGGTGCATATTCTGGGATGTAAGAGACGGCAGCAAGCACCTGCAACAGAGACAGAAACCCTGTAAATAGAGCATCCCACGTCATCAGGGCACAGTACTGAGTGCACAGTACTGCCTGTGCTCAGTTCTCCACACTCCACCATGAAGACCAACCAATCCGAAGGGAAGGGAGAGGAGGCTCATAGAACTGCAAACAGGTGAATACAGAGCCATGTGCCCTGTAACTAAAATTAACAGTTCATGCTAAAGTAAGTAAAGACTACACCCCACCAAAAGAGTGAATCTTTAAGAACACCTGTGGAACGGTGTTTACAGGAGCATGCGGGCCGCTGCATGAGAGGATGTAAGGCAGTAAGGGACAGAGAATTAGACTAAATGAAGATGGGCGGCAGAGACTGGCTGGATCCAGAGCCCACGTCCCTGAGCCTCAGGGGTTAACACCGACAGAAGCTAGAAAGCCTATGGCTGGTTTCAACACTGGGGAGGCAAGCCCTCCGCGAGGAACACACAGTGGCAACACAGAAACCCCAGGCTCCCGAGGCCACAGCAACCAGACCCGCTGCGGCAGCTCCCTGTCTGGGCTCTGTGCAAAGTGCTGGCTGGCTACGAGGACAGCCACAGACACGCTACCACACTTTCCTTCCCACCTGCACTCCTGGCCCCACGTATTCCAAGGAACCCCAAGCTGCAGCCCTGCGTCCTAACTCCAGGAAGGACCCCTTCCATCTTCCTGCCTCACTGTGTCCTCACGAGTCAGATTCAAACTCTAGGCCCTAACAATGACCCAAAGATGGTGCCCAACCCTTGTAAGTCCACACATCATCACATGGTGTGCTCACTCCAATTCCACGTCTATCCCACCAGAGAAGGAGAGGCAGGTTCCTCCCTGGGTCCTACCCGCTACATGACAGCCACCAATGGCAGCCTGTGTCCAGTGCAGATTGGGGGTATGGTGCTGAGATACACTCCCCGCCCCCCCCCCCCCACACACACACACACACTCACATTTGCAGAATTTCACAGAAACACAGAGCAGCCACAGGCCCATCTTCTGTTTGATCAAGCAGTGCGCTCACACCTGTCTTGGGCACACAAGGGTCTCTCCCCAAAGAGCCCTGGGTACCAGTTCCTCGCCTGCTCTGGGCATCCCCTGAACCTATTTGCAGAGATAAGCCCAGAAGGAAACTACCAACCAACAGAGGGAGCACGTGCTGCGAACCACTGGATACAGCAAGCATCATCTGGGCATGCTCTGGGGGACTGAGGATTCTGAGTGCAGCCTGACCACAAACACTCCACAAGGCAGAAATCTGAGAGTGACCTTAAAACACAGATGCAGCTGAGGAGAGAACCCGGACCACCCAGGGCTGGCAGGAGCCACGAGATGGACTGGGACACGACTGCCTGCCACAGAACAGCTGCTGCGTCTGTTGGAAGGGCTTTCCCCTCCAGAGCCTGCTGTCACAGCACATGCTCAAACATGCAGGGGAGAAGCCCCCTACAGACCTTGAAGGAACCTAAATAAACACAGGCAGGCCAGGCTGGGCAGCGCCCCCTAAAGGTCCCCAAGCAACCTAAATGAACACAGGCAGGCCAGGCTGGGCAGCGCCCCCTACAGGTCTCTAGGACAACTAAATGAACATACAGAGGCCAAGCTGGGCAGCCTCCTGCAAGTGTGCCTTCCTGGCTCCTCCACAGACCCCCTAGTAGAGCCAAAGAGCTCACTGGCTCCAAAAGTAAAGCCAAAACACAAACTTCTCAAAATGGGTAAAGAAGGTGATCTTGACCACATCTCAATGACAAGCCAATTTAAGTAATTTTACCAAGGAGCTTTATACAGCTGTATAGTTATTTACAATGACTTAATATAAAAGGCAAATAATACCTAGGAAGTACCACCTTTTCCCAAACATTACTTTAGTTGCCCAGAAAATGCTGAATGAGAAACATATAAAAATATGAATGAAAAGCTATTTATGTGTAACTTAAGCACCCAAGAGGGTATAAAAGTCATGTACATTTAAAGAATTATATAGTAATAAATTCTGGGGAAGAAAGGAAAATCTCGGCTGTGAATGGACCTGAAGGCATTTCAGACTCCAGTATACTAACACATGGCCACCAAGGGTGCTCAATGCCACTCAGCTACCCAAGAGAATTAAACAGTCACATGGTAGAGCCTTAGAAAAGATGCAGAAAAACAGCCATGAGGCAGGCAGGGACCGCTAAGGCAGCCCACAGGGTGCCCGGAGCTCCAGTGAACACTTGCAGCATGAAGGCCTGCAGGTGTCACAGCCAACACGCCCTCTGGAGACACCTGTTCACTCAGCCGCAGACGCGTGGTATGAATCCCTCCTCTAGGACAACACTGCACAGTCAGCCTCGTCCCCCGCCCCTCACCTTCCCCTGTACGTCACACCCTTGGTGCATCTACCTGCTGCAAATGTAAGGAAAGGACAGGACAGAGCCATGTGTACCCAGAGGATCTTCAAAAAGAGCTCTGTATGGCTCTGCTCACCCATGACGCATGCCCATCTCTCTCCTCCCTATCACCTCAATGCGTGGTCTGGTCCAACCACCCAACCCCAGTCACAGCTGGACACCTGCCCTCACTACCCAGAGACTGGGATAAGAGGGTAGGGAGCTTCCATTTTCCACCTAGCCATCCCCAGAACTAGCTTACAGCTCTACCCAGGACCATCAAGTCCTGTAATGAACAGGAAGGCTCACATTCAGGGCAGGGCCTCAGGGCCCTAGGCAGTACAGCCTTCTTCCCACTGCCCACCAGGTCCTCAATAAGCAGCCCTGAATAAAGCCCAGGAGAATCACCCAGGCTGAACTTCTGAGAACTGTTGGCACCGAAGAGAAACTAACAGCCATGTAGAAGTGAAGCGTGCACAGTGCCCACCGTCAAGCCCAGACACCATTATCTAAGGAACGCCGCATGGGGACCTTGCCACTCTGACCAGAGGCTGGACCACTGCTCCTCCTGATGCAGGTTAAGGACCAAGGCCTTGTCCAAAACTAATTCCACCATAGATCCTCAGAGGGTCACTCAGAGGCCAAGCCAACAGATCCACGTACTCGTTCCTTTGGCTACAAGTACAGACTGCTATTAATCAAGGGTGTGACTTGCAAAACTGACCATAGATACTGATCGCAGAACTCTGATGGCTAGATGAAGCAATCGCAGGGCTGTCCGACCCCCCATACCGACCTACTGTCCCTAAAGCCCAAGGTCTCAGCGGCTAAGACCGTCTCCAGTGACTTACCTACCACAGTCTAACCTGACAGGCACTGGCTCACACACATGCAAGTAACCAGCCAATACATGCTAGCCTGCTACCTCAGTGAGGACGTCAGAGGTGTCCAGAGCCACACAAGCCTGAGGAGGGGGCACAAGAGTGGTGTGTTCTGCTACTGTGAGGACACCAGAGCTCACATGAAACACTTTGTGGGTTTTGTGTAGCATATACCAATTTTTTCCCATTGCTGAAATTCAGAATTAGACAAGCAAGGCTTTAACAAATTGTTTTGGCTGATTGGGGTTTTAAAATAGATTTCTCATGGGTTTCTGCTCTGTGCCCAAGTTTCTCCAAGGTGTAGGTGAAGAATGGGTTGGGACAAAGCTGCTTTTTAGCAAGTGTTTTGTAGTCAGGTGTTGGTGTCGCACGCCTTTAATCCCAGCCCTCAGGAGGCAGAGCCAGGTGGATCTCTGAGTTTGAGGCCAGCCTGGTCTACAGAGCAAGTTCCAGGACAGCCAGGACTACACGAAGAAACCCTCTCTTGAAAAAAACAACAACAAAAAGGTGCTTTGTCTAATTTCTAAATACTGTGTTTCATTTTATAAATTTGGATAATATTTTTTTAATGGGGAAAGTAAAATATTAATGTGTCTTAGATAAAAATATATGACAGAGATCAAGAGAAAGGGAATGGATGACTAACTTTGAAAAAAAATTACATGAACAGCACAGCCCAGGCCTGATAGCACAAAGCTGTCACACCCTGAACAGCTTCTTCTGACCCTTGATCACCCAAACGGCTCCCTGGATCTGAGACCATCAGGCTGCAACACCCCAGTGTTCCAGTTCCCCATGTCACCCAGGTTTAGTCAGATGAAGTGACTGCCTGGGTATCACACTCCAGAGAATGGAAGAGTTAACTTCTGGCACCATGCCAACCACAGAGCCTTCTGACCCCACGGCACAGGCGTGTCACTCCCCACTCATCAGCCACCAGGGGACCCCAGAGTAAAACCCTAGATGCCTAAGGGATAGGAAATGTGATGCAGCTGAGCTACAGGCCAGTTACAGAATATGGGAGAAACTGAGTCACTCCCAGCACCCTGAGACTGATCACGTGCTCCCAACTGCCAAGCACCCATCTAGGGCACACATGAGAGCAGGCTGCCTCACAGTGCTCGGGTCCTAGGCAGGCTGAGCATGCTGGGACAGACCGGAACTGAGCGGGTGAAGGTGACAGAGGGCGCTCCCAGGTCAGAAGGAGCAGCAAGCCACAAACCCCACTTACAAAGAGCATGCTGGCCATGGCTGGCAGGGCCGAGAGACGTTTCCAGAAGGCCCAGATGGGGTGATGCTCCACTTGTGAGAACTGACAAGCTCCTGTGAAGGACCTGCATCTGGGATTCCAAACAGTGTGGATGGACACTAAGCATCAGGACAGTTCCATGACTCCTTTATCAATCACCTGCATGGGCCTTCCCTGAGCCTCCTACATGACAAGTATGCATCTCCCCAGGTAACTCTGAACCCCACCACCAATCACACACTGTCCCAGAGTACAGTGCACAGCTAACTCTGAACCACTCCCCAAGCAAGGCACTGTCCCAGAGTACAGTGCACAGCTAACTCTGAACCACTGCCCAAACAAGGCACTGTCCCAGATTACAGTGCACAGCCACCCCATCCCCAGCTATGCACCACCCCAGGTACAGTGCCACCAACCTCATGGAGACTTCCAGCCTTCATAGGCCCCTCCAGTCCTTACCATGAGCCCAGAACACCTTAGCTTGGTCTG